AGAGAGAGAGAGAGAGAGAGAGAGAGAGAGAGAGAGAGAGAGAGAGAGAGAGAGAGAGAGAGAGAGAGAGAGAGAGAGCTCACACACACAAATACAGATAGTTTGAGAAGTGAGTTCAAATAACGGTGTTTAAACAGTTTAATTAACTTCAATATTGTTTACTGTAGCTCTCCCCGGCCCTCTCTCTATATGAACGAGCACATGAGCAACCAATTGGATTTTCTCCTTTACTCTCTCTCTCTCTCTCTCTCTCTCTTTCTCTCTGAGCAGTGAGGCAGAAGGATAGTTGCAGTTCCTGGAACCGCATGCCATGAGCTGGAATCGTATACTGTGAAAGTAAAGCCTCGCGATTTTCAGTTCCTACTTGCAGTGTGAATTCATCTCTCTCTCTCTCTCTCTCTCTCTCTCTCTCTCTCTCTCTCTCTCTCTCTCTCTCTCTCTCTCCCCACCCCACCCCCACCCCCTACCCACTCTCTCACACTGACACGCACGCACCATGAAGAAAAAGATTCAGACATTGATATTTATAATATATCGTTATCATCGCAGCCTACTAGCAGGTAACATGCAGAACCAACAGTCATGGCAGAAGCCGACGGACACCTCTCTTTATTCATTGTCAGTTCCTTCAACAACATCCTCACTTCCATACTTCATGCAGCACAAATAATTGCCTCCCTTGTCACTAACGACACTAATGATGATGATGAAGGGCAAACGTCCCAACGAAAAAGAAGAAGAAGAACAAGAGGAGGAGGAGGAGGAGGAGGAGGGGGACGAGGAAGACGAAGAAGAAGAATTGAACTCAATCACACGACGCAAGCGAATCCCAAGAATCAAACACACGACCTCACACATGGGAGTCGTAAGCTGAACCAAACGGTTAAGCTGACCAGGGTGAAAGTTAAGCCCCAAGACGACTACTTAACAGCAGCCCAGGACAGATTTCTCTGCGTCCCAGTGTACCCAGTCGCACTCACACCAGACCACACGGGCCGTCGACTCAACCACCAGACAATGTACGACTTCACATCTGGTTGCTACGCAGGTAATATTGAATAATACATCCACGAGCTGATCCCAAGAATCGGACACGCAACCTCCCACATGGGAGTTACCTGGCTGGGGTGAAAGTTAAGCCCCAAGATGAGTACTTAGCCCCTCCCCTGCACGGATTTCTCTGCATCCTGGTGTACCCAGTCACACACACCCGACCACACAGGCCGTCGAAGCAGCCACCATAAGCCCCAAGAAGAGAAGATGAAGAAAGAAGAGCACAAGGAGGAGGAGAAGAGAGAGGAGGACAAGTGGGAAGGGGAAGGAGAAGGAAGAGGAACATAGGACAGATGAACTACCATTCTCTTTCTCTCTCTCTCTCTCTCTCTCTCTCTCTCTCTCTCTCTCTCTCTCTCTCTCTCTCTCTCTCTNTCTCTCTCTCTCTCTCTCTCTCTCTCTCTCTCTCTCTCTCTCTCTCTCTCTCTCTCTCTCTCTCTCTCTCTCTCTCTCTCTCTCAGGTTTCCAACAACAGTGAAATTGCGACCCCAAGGACGAAATGCCCACTCACGAGCTGAATACAGCTGTCGCCACGGTCTGAAAACTACTGCGATGGTTGATGTGCTCCCTAGGACCCCAAAACCTGAGCTGGGGAACCCATCTTTTCCCCTTTCCCCCCCCCCGCAAATAGAAGGCAGGCTTAATTTAGTTGTTCTGTGCATCGCAGGCTTGCGGCAACTTGCAGAAGCGCCCCCGTAATAATGACTCGAGGAATGTGCCACAGCGAAACCTTGTTGGCATGAGAACCAGGTCTAGCCACAGGACCAGTTTCTGCATGTGAACCAGGTTCAGCATCAGAACCAGATTTGCCTTCTGTTTAGGGCTGTTGGGGCATCCTGAGCAGTAGTTTCAAAACCGTGGCGGCAGTGGCAACCGAGTTTTAAAGAGCAGGTATTCACGCATCCTGTGCCCAATGAACCCTAAACCCTAAGCCCTAAACCCCAGACCCTAGACTCTAAACCCTAGACCCTACACCCTAAGCCCTAAACTAAACTCTAGACCCTAAACCCTAAACCCTAGACCCTAGACCCTAAACCCTAAACCCTTGCATGACTGCCCCAAGGGGACACTTATCAATTGAGTTTCATAAACATTAATTATTCTGCTCTCTTGCTCTCTTTGTACGTACATATACACAGACATACATATGCATGTGGACATATACATCAAATACATACATGCATATATATTCTACGGGTATCGTTGTTTCCCTCCGCTAACTAACCCCGCTTGTATCTCTCTTTGTGACAAAAAACAGACCCCTTTCAGGACATGGGTTGGGTCAAACAACTGACCTTGGTTAGCTTTCAGGTCATGGACTCATGGCCATTGGATGGATCAGCAAAAAAGCTTCACATTCTGCTCTTGGATTTGGAATCGGATTTGCCACTGTCCACAGGTTGAAACACCCCCCCGTTTACGCTTCCGCTGCCCTGCCTGCAAGTTCGGCTCTGCAGTGTTCTGCATACAATGTATGGAAAACCAATTTCCCTCGCACTTATTAGTTCTCCCTCTCTCTCTCTCTCTCTCTCTCTCTCTCTCTCTCTCTCTCTCTCTCTCTCTCTCTCTCTCTCTCTCTCTCTC